TGTAGGAAAATTTGGAATTGGGAGAGCCAACTGTTGTCAGATATTGCTGTATTTTGTTGAATTTTATTGAGTGGCCAGGTTTGGATATAATATTAAGCCTCATGCCCTTCTATTCTTCTTGGGGCATTGCTCCTCTGAGGCTGGAAGCTCTCCTTCCATTATCAAGTAATATTGGTTTGTTATTTGGCTTGCTTGGATAAACTGTAGCTAAGTAACAAGATATCCCAACTGAGATAAAAATCACTAAATGTGTTTACTTGAAAACAGCTCCATTATAGAAGAGAGAACAAGATGTTGACTATTTATATAATGTGATGCTTGAACTGGTGAGATTGTTGAATTAACCAAACTCATTTATGATTCACCTTATAAGAAATTTAACTTAACATCTGAAATGTTATGGAAGTATAAAAGGAACACAAGCAAGCAGCTCTAATCCTTTCTTTAATGGGTATTTGGAAGCTAAATCCGTTACTTGTATTCTAGACTATGCACACCACCAGCTTGATGTCTATATATATATATATATGTAGGTCTTTGGTTATTCGGTTATTCTCCCATGTAAAATTGGAGGTTTCTTGGCAACGTTTCAACGAAGTCTCATTCGTCATCTTCAGGCTGGTGTCTTCGGCTTCGTGCTTTTAGGAGCAACGTGTGTGATCGCAGCTGTTTCTTCCTTTTGAATGCCAGTGGGGGTGTGAACTGATTGGGTGGGAGCTTGGCTGTGTTCTGATTGGGTGGAGGTGTGTTCTGATTGGGTGGAGGTTTGGCTGTGCTCTGATTGGATGGGGGGGGTTGGCTGTGCTCTGATTGGCTGGGTGTGTGTTCTGTTTAGGTGGGGGCTTGGTTGTGCTCGGGTTAGTCTGAGTAGCAGGGGGATTTGAGCTGGTGAGCTGTGTTGCTGTTGTTTAGCTTCGTGTTCGTGGCCGTGCTACCTCTTCATGGTGGGTGTCAGTCTGCTTCATGTATGGATTGGAGGGGTTTAAAGGGGCTAATGATGCAGCTGTGGTCTGGCTTCTGGTCCGCGGTCGTGCCTCATCATCAGTGTGGGTTTGAGTCTGCTTTCTGCGTGGATGTGTGGTGGTTACATCCTGTGTGGCTCTCGTGAGTGTGGGCCTGGTGTCATTCTTTGTGTTAGGGACTCGTTTGTCAATAAGGGCGGGTTTCCAAATGGCTGGTAGGTGGGAGGTATCATCTCGTTTATTCATGCTGTGTGGACGTTTTTCTATCTCGATGGCTTCTCTGATTATTCCATTGTTAAAGTGTTCAGTTTTGGCGATAGTTCTGGTCTTTTTAAAGTCAATATCATGTCCTGTGGCTTTGAGGTGTTGGACCAGGGAAGAAGTTGGTTCCTCTTTTCTGACTGAGTTCTTGTGTTCTTCAATGCGTGCACTTATTCTTCTGTTGGTTTGTCCGATGTATGTGGTGGGGCAGGCGGTGCATGGGATTTCATATACCCCTTGATTTTCTAACTCAATTTTGTCTTTGGGGTTTCTTAGGATGGTGGATATTTTTCGGTTTGTGCAGAATGCTGTCTTGATGTTGTGTTTGTGGAGGATCTTGCTGATTCTGTCTGTGGTGCCTTTTATGTATGGGAGGAGGGCTTTGCCGTTTTCTTGTTCTCTGTCTTGGATTTTAGTGGGGGTTTCTTTTTGGATTAGGTTGGTAATTTTATTTCTTTGGAATCCATTGCATGTTAGTACGTTAGTGAGAGTGTATAGTTCGGTTTTTAGGTGTTGTTCATCAGCTAAGTGTTTTGTTCTGGAGATGAGTGTCTTGGCTACAGAGTTGATCTGTGCTGGGTGGTGGTGTGAGAGTGCGTGCAGATAGCGGTTTATGTGTGTTTTCTTCTGGTAGATGGTGTGTCCTAGGGAGCCATTGGATTTTTTGTAGACTAAGACATCCAGGAAGGGAAGTTGGTTGTTCACTTCTGTTTCCATGGTAAACTGTATTTTGGGGTGTAGGCTGTTGAGGTGTGTGAGGAAGTTGTCCAGTTTTTCTTTCCCATGTGGCCAGATTATGAAGGTGTCATCTACGTATCTGAGCCAGAGTTTGGGTTTGTGATCAGATTTTTCTAGAGCTTGGGTTTCAAAGTGTTCCATGTAGAGGTTAGCAATGACAGGTGAGAGGGGTGATCCCATGGGTACTCCTTCTATTTGTTTGTATTTTTGTCCATTATAGATGAAGTATGTGTTGGATGTGCCAATCACCCAAGTGCCAATCAAAGAAGCCCTGACAGTTATCCAAAACAAAACCCCCCCCAAGCCCATCCTGATCAACCACTGCCTATTCAACACATACTTCATCTATAATGGACAAAAATACAAACAAATAGAAGGAGCACCCATGGGATCACCCCTCTCACCTACCATCCTCTGGAGTCCATTTAAGCTCACACCTACTGCTTCAGTGACTCCATTCAGCCATCTCATTCTCTGCTGTCCCATTCTTCTTTTGCCCTCAATCTTTCCCAGCATTAGGTTCTTCTCCAGTGAGTCCTTCCTTCTCATTAGGTGGCCAAAATATTTGAGTTTCATCTTCAGTGTCTGGCCTTCTACAGAGCAGTCAGGGTTTATCTCCTTTAGGATTGACCGGTTTGATCGCCTTGCAGTCCAAGGGACTAGCAGGAGTCTTCTCCAGCACCATAGTTCAAAGGCCTCAATTCTTTGGCGCTCAGCCTTTCTTATGGTCCAACTTTCACAGCCTTACATTGCAACTGGGAAAACCATAGCCTTGACTATATGCACTTTTGTTAGCAGTATGATGTTTCTGCTTTTTAGTATGCTGTCTAGATTTGCCATAGCTTTCCTCCCCAGGAGCAAGCATCTTTAATTTCTTGGCTGCAGTCCCCATTTGCGGTGATCTTGGAGCCCAGGAAAATAAAATCTGTCACTACCTTCATTTCTTCCCCATCTATATGCCAGGAATTGAGAGGGCCAGATGCCATGATCTTAGTTTTCTTAATGTTGCGTTACAAACCAACTTTTGCGCTCTCCATCCACATCAAGAGGCTCTTTAGTTCCTCTTCACTTTCTGCCATTAAAGTAGTATCATCTGCATATCTGAGGTTGTTGATATTTCTCCTGGGAATCTTAATTCCAACTTTTGATTCATCTAGCCCTGCCTTTCTCATGATGTGCTCTGCATATAAGTTAAATAGGCAGGGTGACAGTATACAGCCTTGCCGGACTCTTTTCCCATTTTTGAACCAATCAGTGGTTCCGTGTCCAGTTCTCACTGTTGCTTCTTGACCCACATATAGGTTTCTCAAAAGACAAATGAGATGGTCTGGTACTCCCATCTCTTTAAGAACTTGACACAATTTGTTGTGATCCACACAATCTAAGGCTTTAGCATAGTCAATGAAGCAGAAGTAGATGTTTTTCTGGAACGCGTATGTTGGCAATTTGATCTTTAGTTCCTCTGCCTCTTCGAAATCTTGCCTGTACTTCTGGTAGTTCTCGATCCACATACTGCTGGAACCTAGCTTGTAGGATTTTAAGCATAACCTTACTAGCATGTGAAATGAGTGCAATGGTGCGATAGTTTGAGTATTTTTTGGCATTGCCTTTCATTGGAATTGGAATATAAACTGGCCTTTTCCAATCCTGTGGCCACTATTGAGTTTTCCAAATTTGCTGGCAAATTGAGTGTAGCACTTTTACTGCATTGTCTTTTAAGATTTTGAATAGCTCAGCTGGAATACTGTCTCCTCCACTAGTTTTGTTGTTGCTCAGATTTCCTAAGGCCCATTTGACTTCACATTCTAGGATGTCTGGCTCGAGGTCAGTGACCATCCCATCGTGATTATCAGGGACATTAAGCTCGTTCTTGTATAGTTCTTCTGTGTAATTTTGCCATCTCTTCTTAATCTCTTCTGCCTCTGTTAGGTCCCTGCCATTTTGGTCCTTTATCATGCCCTATCTTTGTATGAAACATTCCCTTCATATCTCCAATTTTCTTGAAGAGATCTCTGGTCCTCCCTATTCTATTGTTTTCTTCTATTTCTTTGTGCTGTTCATTTAAGAATGCATTCTTATCTTTTCTAGCTATTCTCTGGAATTCTGCATTCAACTGGGTGTATCTTTCTCTTTCTCCCTTCACTTTTGCTTCCCTTCTTTCCTTAACAGCCTTAAGCAGAAACCTGAACAGGCTAATCTTTAGGAATGGATATTTTGTGTCCTGGGCTACTCTATTCATAAGCAAAGAGCAGCCAGAAACTCCAAATAAGCAACACAATAGGCAAGGAGCAGAAACTGACAAGATTAGCTGACAAAACAAAACATCTAGGATTTGCATTTCCCCCTTTGCCTTTAGAGCTAGCCATGACCCGTACATGACCCCATAGGAATCTGGCAACATCTATTAAAATATTAAAGGACATATTCTTGCACAAGAACAGGCATCTCAATCACAAAGCCCCAAAGGATGTACACCTACTCTCAACCCCATTTTGTCAGCAACCCCAGAAACATGGTGCTGTCACTAGTTTCTGGTTACCAAATAAACAGAGACCTCCTTTCCTGCAGCTTGGCTCCATTTTATTTCCAGCATGTTTATCCTGGATTGGAACCGGACTGGATTTTTCTTCCAACACTTATGGATTGGTGGCAACCAGCTCTGCCAAGAACTGGACCTCTCCTGAAGTTCACAGATGCTGCTGAATATTCTTTGTATAAGGCTGAAGGTTTTATGTTCCAAACAACTTACACCTTGCTAGTAAGCCACCAGCAGTTGATTTAAATCTCTTACCATGTTGTAATAGGTGTATGGGAAGGCCTCTCAAGCACTTGATCTTCCACACAAAAACCACACCAAACGCACTCCCATTCATAGTGCCCCATAGCAATCCTGTACTGATACTTCATTAGGAACGTAACTGCCTGTATTCATTAATGTCCTACAAAAGCTTATCATCCCTGCGGTGGATTGTACAGGACTATCTATAGAACGTACTTGCTCAAATTGCTGATACCTATCTTCCTTATTTTGTTTTTAAGGCTGTTGATAGCTGTGTGTGCTTCAGTATGCTCAGGATTTGTGGGCCTCTCATCCCATGGCAGATGTACTTCCAGCAACCTTCCTAAACTGCCTTAAGTGAGTCAATATGGGAATTTGAAGATATTGTTCTTTTACTGGATTTTATTAGTGTTTGTGGAAGGAGTTTAACTGAAGATCATTATATAACCTATGGATTATTTCCTTTGTTATTTCACTTCTCCAAAATAGGAGTAACTGAAATTAAAATATAGATATGAACAATTATTGGAGTATTTTACTTAAAGCCAGGGCAACTGACACAGCATTTAATGGAAGTTGACAGCTAAATACCCTGCCACAGCAGTAAAGTGTTGAACAATGCATATGAAAATAAACAGCCCAAATGAAAGCTATTTCTGCAGATGCCTTTGGCATGCTTTCTCAACCCTGAACAGGTTATTTGAGATGGTAATTGCTGCCAAAGAATTTTTCTCTTCTTTTTTAATATACCTTATGAGATTTACCTCAAGGCAAAATAGAGTGCTTTTATGGATATGCTTAACTTTAAAATAAGCAAAATCAATACCAGAAAGAGCAAAGCTGTCTTATGCAGCTTAGCCAATAGTTATTTGTGTGTCTCCAAAATCTCAGTTTCACTTGACTGGCAGGGCTGGGAAGAGCAAAGAGGTTTGGTTTTTCATAGATCATTTGGGAAAGTGACATCCAAATCCATCTTGTTTCCAATTTTGTCTATCCCATTTAATATGTGAATCAGTCAAATATGGTCAATGTCACTAATATTTATTTAATATTCCATTTTGTTAAATTTCCTCAAGTTATTTTCTTAGGGAAACTATAAGAAAAACACCCATTTATTTTATGAAATGTTCTGTAGTTTTGCACACAATGTTCCCTAACAAACATTGTTTTAATGCAACCAGGAGTAACTTAGTGCTTTTCCATATCAACTTTCCCCAAGATGTATCATGTGTTGCTTTATATAAAACTTTTAGATCAAGAATAATACCTCGTGGTGGACTCCATGAATTACTCCTGTTATCTTCTGTGATAGATTCTATATTGAGATATTATTCAATTTCATTCTAAACAGAATTGCAGATTTCTCTTGTATTCTTTTTAAATTTTATTTAATTTATGCTGCACTGCTGGGGCGCACATAATTGACAATTTATCATACATGTTGGCAGGGTTCTCTTTTTATATTAAAGTATATTGTTTCTCTTTTATTTGTAAGCAGCCAAGAGTCATTAAGGAGTTGGGCAGCCTTGAAATTGGATATAATGATGATGATGAAGATGATGATGACTGCAAGCCTCTGCAAACAGTGAAAATATCCAATTGCACTGAATCAGATCCATTCCCAAAAAACATGCACAATATCAAGATGACTATAAAATTCAAATCGATGATGAAAATGCATCAAGTTCAATAAAGCGGTAATGAAAATCAGTATAGAATGAAGCAGAACTCATTGCAGAGACAATTCTTTAAAAATGCAACTCATCAAGGTGATGATGAGTCTTCATGGGAAATAATGGATTTGTTTGTATGGACACTTTTTCCAAGTTGAATATGCATATATAAAATGATACTGGGACGGGATTTTAAAAAAAGCTCTGCCCCTGGACCTTTTATACTTAGTTTCCTTTCCTGGGTCCACATTTAAAGTGGTTGAAAGGGCAGGATTGCCTGCCTGCCCTGATGCCAACTGAAGCTCAACACCATCAGAGCAAAGCATTGGGTTTTAAGAGTTAGCTTTAAAGCAGCAGTTAATCTGATGAAGGTGATGATATTAGGAAAAAGAGAAATGTAGCTGAATGCTATAATATATATCATATATAATAATAACACAAGGAGAAATAGTTTTGTTTTTTGTTTGTTTGTCCTTCAACAAAGATGAAGATGATCATCCTCATTTTATATTGTTGATCAGATTGTGCAAATTTGTTCCATATAATTTTTCCTGTCTTTTAAAAACAGGAATTCATAAAATCAAGGGATTGAGCCAGCTACCACCTATTCTACACATGTGCATTTGGCTTTTCTTGCCGAAGTGCAAAACCTTAGTTTTCTCACCAATGAATTGCATTTTGTTGGATATGTATACCTCACTTTATTTGAGAAACCCAAAATTTTCTGAATAAATAACATTGATAATGCTAACATTCCTGTATATCAAAACCAATGCTCTCAATATATGATGTTTTTCATTAATACAGGCTGCATTTCTAAACATACTTGGGTATGGAAAATTTAGAAACACCTGCTGGTTTTTGGCTACATATTTTTCATCTTCCTACCCACCTCCAAGATATAGGGCATCCATTTACCCCCTAAACCTCCCTTAAATCAAATAGATTCCCCAGATTGCACCTTACCATTACAGGTAGTCCTTGACCACAATTGGGACCAGAATTTCCCTCATAAATCATTGCAACTGTAAATTGAGTGAGACTCAATTTTGTGACAATTTTTATAGCGGTTGTTAAGAGAATCATGCATCATCAAGTGTTTTGCTGTAAATTGGCAAAAAAGATCACAAATCACAATCATGGAACTACAGGATGCTGCAATTGATAAAGATTAACAGAGTTGGAAGGGATCTTGTAGGTCATCTAGTCCAACCCCCACCCAAGCAGGAGACCCTAAACCATTTCTGACAGGTGGCAGTCCAGTCTCTTCTTGAAGGCTTCCAGTGATGAAGCTCCCACATCTTACGAAGGCAAGCTGTTCCATTGATTGATTGTTCTCACTGCCAGAAAAGTTCTTCTTATTTCTAGGTTGAGTCTCTCCTTGATCAGTTTCCACCCATTAGTCCTTGTCTGGCCTTCAGATGCTTCGGAAAATAGCTTGACCCCCTCGTCTCTGTGGCAGCCCCTCAAATATTGGAACACTGCTATCATGTCCCACCTGGTCCTTCTCTTCACTAGACTAGCCAAGCTCAGTTCCTGCAACTGTTCATTGTATATTTTAGCCTCCAGTCCCCTAATCATCTTGGTTGCTCTTCTCTGCACTCTTTCTAGAGTCTCAACTAATGTGGTGACCAAAACTGGATGCAGTATTCTAGGTGTGGTCTTACTAAGGCTTTATAGAGTGGTATTAGTACCTCACTTGATCTTGATTGTATCCCTCAAAGCATTTTAGGATTTCATTGGTCATAAATATGAGCTGGTTGCCAAGTGATGCAATGTTCGTAAGCATGGATACAGGTCATAAGAATTTTTTCTGAGGCTGTTGTAACCTTGAATCATCATTAAACCATCATTAAACAAACAGTTGTAAATCGGGGGTTACCTGAACAGAATAAAATTGCGCAGGCTTGCAAAATAACCCAGAAATGCTTCAGTTCTTCCACGTGACTATATCTGTCTTTATTAAAATTCTGCAGGATCTTTAAAAAACTTGTGTGTCAAGTGCTGGGGAAACCCTGAGATTCAGGCAGTGTAAATGAGTATAAAGATTTATTGCAAGCTTGAACTCTCTACAAGAATTGGAACTACTAATGGTCAAGGGAAATGTGCAGGAGTTAAGAATAGAAAGGAATTCAAGGTGGGCTGGACTTAGATGTCTTGTGGTTGCACAGGGACTCATGACTGATGATGTGTTTGACCCCTCCCTCAGGCTCAGTCTGGTCATCTCCTACATTGTGTGCTTTAATGAATCAAACCAGTAAAACTGTGTACCTTTACTATTATTCTTAAAGCAGAGGCAGCTTTTCCTCGCTGTCTCAAAAGCTCACTGTAAAACATGGCTGCTTTAATGAGCAACAGAGAAGTTCTGGGCTCACATAAAACCATTTTTTTCTGAATTATTTTTGAACCCTCCACATCTTAACAGTTCATATGGCCTTGACAGCTGTGGAGCAGATTTTAAAAATTCAGCTCCTATCAAGAATAAGTTTTCCACTTCTGTTCTTAGATATTTACTGCAAATAAATGTGTGATAAATTTTGAATATAAACAAGAATGGACTTTTGAATTTTTGTGTGAATCACCAGCAAAATATACTTCTGACCTGAATCTGAAATGATCTGCTTGTTTAAATTGGAGCTCTTAAAGGCAACTAGAAGATTGTATAAAGGGTAATAGAGGCAACAAAAGGATTCTTGGGAAAATAACAGGAAGTAATACTGGAAGAATTATAAGATAGCAGAGTACATGTGGGTTCTTATGTTGTTATTGGAAGTGGAACAGCCGCAATGCATTAACACTTCTACTTCAAAAGTATTCATCTCGGTTTTTTCTTTCCCTCTTTTTTTCTCCTTAACATATGGAAGAGACTGATCATTTATTTTCTTTGGCAGATTTTGGGGTATTTCAGTATAACTTCAGTGTTATTCTTTATACACAACACCCTGCCTTTAGCAACTGTCACAATTTGGCATGCATGTGGTTTAAGCAATACACTATGTCTTCAGTTAATCAAGGGAACTTACCACTTCTCAATTAAAGGGTTGAGGAACAGGAAGAGTAGTACATTCCAAGATCCTCAATAATTGTTTGGGGAGGAAAATCACGTGAGTTTTACTTGAGGCATCCCTTGGAATTCAAGACTGTTGTTGTTGCTATTCAGGAAGTTATTACAGGCATTATTTTGTTCCAAACCATCTAGTCTAGGTCTTTAGCCAAAAAGGATAGCTTCGAAATCTATAAACATCTTGATATATTTGATCAGCCAAAGGAAAATGAATGTGGCTTTTGTGATTTCAACACATTTTTATTTCAGAATTGCATGTAGGTCTCTGAATATTGCTGACTTCATGATTTGGAGGAGGAACAAGTCTTCGCAGAAGAGATAAGATATTTATTTCCAATATTTTACTTTATAGTGATGACTTTTGTTGAGAACTGAGAAGATCAGTTTGGAATTGAAGCGAAATAGTTTATTAACCATCTATCCATGTTAAATTTTTGTGTTGTAGATATTTTTTTACTTTATGGTAATTAAAATCTTCATTTGTATACTGATCAATTAATAATATTAATTAATGGGTTTCAATCTGCCCAGTAATAAATGTCCTTTGTGCAAATATATAAAAAGAAAATCCAAATCCAAATAAATAATGCAATAAACTCTTTTAATGTAGCCCTCATGTAGTAGAAACTCTCAGCAATAAGGAAAGCACCCATTTTCTTGGTTTTCACATAGTGATAAAAAGTTTAATGTTCTGGGTTTTGGGTGCATATAGTGGACTCAGGTTCCTTTTGTAATTATTCTGTATATATGAACTAGATTTTTTTTTTTTTTTTACTTCAGTGAGGCACTGGCTTTCATATTTCTGGCTTGAAAGTAGCCTTTATATTTCAGAAACTGTCTTTGGAAAGACTGTAGTCCATAGCATAAATTGGCACTGTCATTTCATCAAGGTTCATTTTACACCGATTGATAGAGTTCATCTACCTCTTTTCAAACCTTATTGAACCATTTTGCTTGCAATATTCCCTTTCCTCTAAACTTGGCAAACGGTTGGCATTAGCATATGGCCACCATTAATGGACAAGGCAGACAAAGCAAAGAATAGACAAACCTCCTTGTACCATTTTTTAAAGATGACATTCCACTTACTGTTTGAGGAATGATAAAACTTTTTAAAAGCACATTTAATTATATTAAAGAGGGATGCGATTAACTGTTTGCCTGGATGGAGGACCCAAGAACAGGATTCTTCCTATCTGTCGTAACTTTAGAGGAGTTTTCCTTCAGTCTTGTGGCATCTGTTTAATCTCCATAGGGAATCTCCATCTATTTGGCTTACAGGTCATGTTACGAGCCTTGTAGTTGTAACTGATCTGAGCAGTGGCTTCTCCAGTGTAAGTGCTGTTGATAAATTACTGCATATGGTAGAGAGCGTTAAGTTGCAGTGTCATTGCTTTTCATCTAGAGAGGCTTCTCAGGAACTTTCCATGACAGCTAAAGAGCTTTGGGCACAATACAACAGACATAACTCATAACAACCAATAAAGCCAGAGAACAAAATGGACCATATTGTTTTTGTTTTTTTAAAAAAAATCAAGATCAAATACACTTGTAGGTTAAATGTGTCTACAATTTTGCTCTTAGTGAAATTCATCTTGCTATAAAGATGCCAGAAAAAATAACGGCTGATTGATATCAAAGTTTCAAGGAAGAACCTGAAGCTTTAGCGTCTCCCCTGTCATTACAGGGAAATCTTTAAATTACCCACAGCAGCATCCTGAGGGCTGCAGACTACATTTTACCTTCATGTTTGAATGCTAGACGAGAGAGGGATTCTCTTGAGCTTGGCCCATATCTGAAAGCACATTCCCTTTTCCTCAAGCCCATTTAAAGATCAGACCTGCAAATCAGTTGTGGGTTTCAAATCCCGTCACTACTGGTTCACTAGTGGGTGCTTGCATGCTTGCACTCGCATGCGATGCTTCTGCACAGAGATGTCCAGGCCAGTGGGCAGAGTCTCCCGCCGTTGCCAC